CCGGATGGAGGCGCGCGGGACCGCCCCGCCGTCGCTGCGCACGCGCCTACCCCCAACGGCCGCTCTGCTCTCGCGGGCACAGCCGGCGGGCGGGGTTTCGGTTGGCCAATAGCAGGGCCGGGGCCGTTGCGGCCGGCGCGCGCTCGGTGGTCGCCTTTCCGGCCTGGCGGAGGGGGTGTGGGTACTGCCGCCTCCGCCCCGCGGCCTGGGGCCCGGCGGCCTGTGCGGAGCCTCTGCCGCCTCCCGCCGCGGTGCCCTGTCCTCGGGCTCGGCAGGGCCGCGGCCCCGGGCTGCCGCGCCCACGGGGAGTGTGACGGAGGAGAGGGCGCGGAACCGCACTGCGCGCCCGGCGGGGGCGGCTGAGGGGAAGCGGGCGGCTGGGCGACCCCCGCCATCCCTGGGCCCCGGGCCGGCGGGCAGAGCAGGCGCCGTGCGCTGAATAAAAATAACACGAAAGGAGTTGGGGGACCCCCGGGTGACCGGCGTCGCTGCTGGCCCGCTGCCGGGTCCCAGAGCACAGTTTCAAAATGGTTATCGACCTTATGATGCAAAGAAAATAGCACCATATTTGGTGTTTCTTGTGCCCAGTGTGGGGTAAAGTGGTTACAGACATTACAGACTACCCTTTGTACAAACACCACTCTGGGACGGGTCGATGGTACAGCTGGAAGCACTAGTACTAATCGTCAGTGCAAAAGCACAACTACTACATCACAAACATCTGAGAGTGGGATGCAGTTTGCTTTATGCGTCCTTGAGCAAAAAGAAAGCTGCGTGAATACTTCTGGTTGCTGCAAAAGAGATGAAAATAGCTTTCAAAATTGTTTAGCTCCTCTCTGAATACAGTCACTGCCGAAGCTTGTTGCTTGGCTGTCGTGACACTGGTGTTCAGGAACTCCCATATTGCTTAAGCAAACTGGACCATGGTGTGCTCCTGCTTTGTCATTGTTAGTCAAAATTAAATCTTTAAATAGTGATTCTGTGTATTTGGGGGTCCTAAAGTCTCGTGTGTTCCCTTGAAATTGCCTTGCAGTGCTAAAGCTGAAAATTAGTCTTTTTACAAAACTGGCACAGATGATAACTAGTGGTAGCGATGGCTTGTTGGGCTTTGCTTCTTTCAAGGCAATAGATCTGAGACTGCTTCTGTAATATAGATATTTGCAGCTGTGCTAAGGAGTAACACTGGCAACTTGGGACAAAAAAAGATTACTTTCTGTTTTCCCAAAGACTTGCTGATCTAACTACTTTAGTGTTCATTTTAACAAGGCCATGGGTTTTGTGTTCTGTCACTTTTCTTGTTGGTTGCTGTAACTCCGATGTTCCTCTCAGGCAATTGTTTGGCACGACAAACCTTGCATCATTGTGTCTGGAAAACTTCAACTGTGTAATTATATTTTATTTTTTGTCAGTCACTGAAGTGCATGGATAAAACATCCCATGTTTAAATATAGGTAAATTAAGCTCTACTTTGCTGTAATAAGTAAGGACAACATATCAGCATGGAAGAAATCTATGAGCTGCTCCTAAAATTCTAGTTCTTGGATACTCAAAGCCACTTCAAATTTTATGTGGCCCAGCCTGAAGAAGGGAACCCCTGCTACATGTTGTGATACCTGCATAAAAAGAAAGTACTATGAAATCCTGGCATAGATAAGTGACTGAATAATCAGCTTAACACTGAAAAGAAAAGACTAATCCAATAGCAAATCCAGGGAAAATTATATGCTTACAATTTAATGTGCAGAACTGCATTTT